CTACTGCTCTCGCCGATTCTGCAGGATCTACACTGTGTGCAGTATGAGTTTGGAAAACTGTGAACCATTTGATGAATGTCGTCTGTTTTATTGTAATCTAAAAATAAAAAACCAAATTTACTGCCAGTACAGATGCTTCTCCACTTGTTATTGGACATGTTGGTTTAATTAGTCATCTTTTCTGACATGCACCATATTCACACTTCGGCATATTTATTTTATTGTTATTGTTTTTATCATATACCAGTGGTCTGTTTGCAGTAATTTCTGTCTGTATTTCTATCAGGTTTGTGTCCGTGTCGGAGCTGATCCGCGATCAGAGAACCGCCTGCTGCAGCAGCCTCAGCTGGAGCTCCGCCCACTACCGGGAACACGCCAGGGGGGCGGAGCTAAAGCTGCCCGCTTATAAAGCTCTCCCTCGTGACAACCTGCTTCTGATTGGCTGTCTGTGTGACGGACTGACCGCGGGGACCAATGACGGGGTCTGGAGGGTGAGAGACGCGGGAGGGAGCCTAGCATGTGCGGTGAGTTAATTGTTACCTGTTAATTGAAATTAAATATAAATGTTTTGATTTTGAGGACATTTTAAGTTATGAACTTGCAGGATGTATTATGCATAAAAAGACCTCTTCTGCATCAAAAGATCAAGGGAAATTTGGTTTCTCATGACCCCTTTAAGTCGTTTTTAATTAAAAATTGCTTTCTTGAAACACTTAAAACTAAAACTGACAAAAATAAAGCTAAATAGAAATATAAAAATACAAATGGTAATGATGATAAATGAATAAATGAAATAAAATTAAAATATGACGTAAAAGGAAATTATAATGAATTATAATACTTTATTAGTGTATAAATAGTTTGCTGAAAATGACTAAAACCCATTATAAAACGACAAAATAAATGAGCAGATATAGAAATATTTTAAAAAGAAATAATAATAATAATATATAAACTGATAAAACAACTTAAAAATAAGGTGAGAACTGAAAATATTAAATTAATACTATAGTAGTATATGAATCATATTAAGTACATTAAATCTACTGCTGTCAAAAGATTAATCTTTTGTTTACATAATATATGTGTGTGTGCTGTGTATGTTTATTATGCATATATAAATACACACATACATGCATGTACATATTTATATTCATATAATTTATATTATATATAAATATATTTAATATATAAATATAACATATTTTTCTTAAATATATACATGCGTGTGTGTGTGTGTGTGGGTGTATACATAATAAATATACACAGCACACATATATTATTTAAACTAAAACTTTTATTTTGGATGCGATTAGTTGCGATTAATCATTTGACAGCACTAAAATCATTTAATTTTCAGTTTGTTAGTTCATGTTAATTAATGTTAATAAAAGAAACCTTTTTGTAAAGCTTTATGTTTCATAAACGCTGAGAAAAATGATGTAGGGTTTACTTAGATTTTTTTACTTTGATTTCAATTTCAACTTGGTAAGTTTCTCAAATAATTATAAAGAAATGGCGAGTAACACAGTGACTAAAACATGAAACTGAAAAACTATATAAATATTAAATTTGGCAAACATACTCCAATAATCTCTATTCAGCTTTGAAAAATCATTTTTAGAGAAAAAATATTTTTTTCATTTATTTATCGCTTTTGACCATAAAATCAGTGCATTAAATCCGTTACTCAGATGTGAAATTGCCTGTTGATTTTATGCATTAATATTTATGCATAAGCACAGTTGGTTGACTGCAGTGTAGAGTTGAGGATCTTCTTGTTTCTGGTGCAGATGCTGAAGTCGTCTTGTCTCTGGCTGGGGAGGCTGATGCTGTTTCCCTCATGGAACTACATCCCCCATAATGCACCTGGAGCGGGTTACCTGGAGCTGCTGGATCCTCCGATGTGTGTGACCCTCGAGGCCATGGCCTTTGACCCCGGAGGAGCCCTGAGCGAGGTCATGAGCGTGATGCGGGCGGCTGAGCTCCTCAGACAGAGGTGAAGTGGATCCGGCTTTCCCAGCGTAACATGCATGCAATTGATCAGGAGTGTGACGCTCTGTTTCTCTGTGTGTGTGTCTGT